AGGAATTAGCACCACCTGCCTCTGTTGCTGCTGGTGGGGGGGTTGAGTGTGGGGCTGCACTGCCCGGAAAGCCCCCAGAGTCCCTGCGAACCCCCCGGACAGGGGCATGAGCAGGCAGGTGGCTTCCAGCCCTGTCCCCGGCCCTGTCCCCAGCCTCACCAGTAGAAAGCCCGGTCCCTCATCTCAGTGTTGGTGAGGCCAGAGCTGATGAATATGTCCTTGTAGATGCGGCCGCACAAGCAGAGGAGGTCGGGCGCAGCCCCCTCCCCGCGCTCCACCACGGGCAGCAGCACCGACAGGGCCTTCTCCCGGTCCCCGGCACGATTACGTCTGCGCACACACGACTGGCACTCAGCAAATGGCACCACCAGTGTGGCCCCTCGGTCCCCCAACCCCATGCCATTGGGGTGCCCAGGGGGTGTGTGTCCCCCCACTGCTCACTGGCTGAGGGCGAAGGCGTAGTGGAAGCGGACATTGTGCTGCTCAGCCACGGTGCAGGTCGGCAGCGCCTGGAGGGTCTCCACCAGTGAGATGATGGCATCGTAATCCTGCAGGAACAGCGGCGGGGCTGAGCCAGTGGCCCCCGTGCTGCCCATCCCCAGCTCCACAGGGCAATGCTCTTCCTGAACCAGCCAAGCCCTGAGGGCTGCAAGCTCCACCGAGCAAGGGCAGGCTGTGGAGCATCCCCCCGGGCTGCCAACATGGTCCCCGGCACCTCGCCAGGATGTTTAAATCCCCTCACCTGCACGTCGCGGTAGGAGAGGAGGAGGTTCACCACGATGTCCAGGCTGAGCAGCTCCACACTGTCCAGGCGCTGCTGGATGCGGGCCAGCTCCTGGCTCAGCTGCTCCCCTCGGTACATCTCCCGTGCCCTCCGGATATCCTGCCGGATCATCTCCCGAAAATACCCGCTGGAGATGGGGAGCAGAGACATGGGGCTTTTGGGGTGGTGGCAATTCTCTGCCAAGCCCTGCGAGCCCACGTGGGCATGGGGGTTTGCCTGCAGCCGGAGGGGTGGGCAGCAGTACCAGGAGTCGGTGGGGATCCCCTCCAGCAGTTGGACGAGCCGGGCTGCCAGCGGGGTGAAGAAGGTCTCTGTCTCGAAGCTGGGCTGGAAAAGCTCCGTCAGGCACTTCATGTCCCCGGTGTCACAGCAGACGACCTTGTTCTGGGGTGTCACCGCATAGGGGATGAAGGTGTAGCTGCTGCAGAGGTCCTGAGAGAGGGGAGAAGGGGTGAGCGGCTGTGCCAGCCGAGCTGAGAACCCCTCTACTCATGTCATGGACCAGCCCCTTCTCCCCAAGTCTGCCCATGCTGTCTGGACGATACAGGCCATGCTAACACAACCACCTTCCATAAGTCATTAGCACGGAAAGACAAAACAGCTTTATCTCTGACTGCCATTATTATGCTCCAGAGTGAACACCTCTGGTTCTCTTCAAAACCAGGTACACCTCTCCATGCTGCTGCTCCTGGCACTTGCTCTGAGCGAGTGACAGACCCCCAACTCAGATTTTGGGAGAGGTCTCGCTCCTTGTCTGCAATGCCACCCTCTGAGGCTGGGGAGAGGCAGCTCAGGGGAAGAGAGGGGCTCAAACCCCCCAGCACTGCGGCAGCGAGCACGGGGACAAGACGTACCGAGTTCTTCTGGCAGATGTCCTCCTGGGGAGAGAGGGAAGGAGAAGGGATTTAATGAGTGTCCCCGGCAAAAGAAATCAGCTGATTTCAGGCTCAGGGATCGGAGTTACCTGGAAAACAGCCAGGGACAGCGAGGGACACCAGGGCCAAGCCGCAAGGGCGGCCGGTCGCCCCCACACCATGAGCGTTGTGTGTGGACCCCCCTCCCGGGGCAGGGCTGCAAATGCAGCCGGCTTCTGATCCGAACCTGGCACAGGGAACGGGTCTCTGAACGGGTGCTCCCCCCGAGCCAGGACAACATTTGGGGACTATTTGGATGTGCTCCCATCTGCATTTTTTTCCCCAAGCAGCAAGAATCCCTCCCACTGGCCCCTTCCGTGCGGAGGGTTTTGCTTCCAAGGAACTGGCTTTTCCCAGGGAAAAGCACCTCTTCCAGAATTCCCAGCCAGCTGGGGCCATGGGAACACCCAGCACCCTGCACCTGGGTCTGGGGCTCACTGAGGTCCCAGCCACCCCCTCCTCATCCTATCCAGGTGCAGGGAAATCTTTGCCAGAGCAGGATGCGACCACAGGAACTCAGCTGGGCTCAGGGGAGGGATGGAGATCCCCTCCTGCCGGCATGGATGCTCCAGGCGCTTGGGGCTATTCCCACCCTGGAGAAGCAGTACCCGGGGGGCCGGGATGTCCCTGTCCCCGTCCCTGCTGACCTGCAGGGCCTGGAGGGGGGGCAGGTCGGCCTGGCAGCACAGCAGGATGTTGTGGGACATGTTGAAGCTCTCGCGGATGCCCAGGTGGTAGAAGAGGGAGGGCTGGCAGATGGAGTCACTCAGCTCCACCACGGCCACGTCTGCGGGCAGGACGGCGGAGATGCTCACAGGACTGGCGCCAGACCCCAATTCATGGGGCAAGGGAACCAGCCACCCCCTGGTTTGGGGGGTCTGCATCCCCTAAGAGAGGGGATGGCCCTGGCCATCACAGCGCCTGAGGCCACAGTGAGGGGCACCCACTTGCCCCCAGCACAGGGTTGAACCCTGAGCAAACCCTCCACAAAAAACACCCTTTCTGAAATCACACCCGCGTGTTTAACGCCAGAGAGGAAGATGTCTCGGCAAATGTCCAGCCACCCTGGAAAGTAAACAGGAGAAAGGCAGAAAAGCAAACAGTGAACCACCCAAGCACACAGCCAGCAGAGCTCCGCTGGGAGCTGCACAGGGAATAGGGAAAGTCTCGGCCCAGGTATTCCCAAACAGCTGGGATAACCGGGCGGAATAGCAGGGAAAGAAGGGTGATAGAAACCCCACGCTGGGGATGCCGCCAGCGGAGCGGGTCGCATACTCACCTGCGTTGTAGAAGTGGTCAAGAGTGGTAGTGTCGCCCAGTGCCAGGGTGCCGAAGGGCAGGGTGTGCAGGCGTGCCTGCAGGCCGCGGCAGGCGTCGCGCAGGCTGCGCAGCGCGGGGCATGTGGCTGGCTCACAGCCCAGCACGCAGACGACACTCAGCGCCCGCCGCCCACCTGCCCGTCCCGGGGCCCAGCACACCGGCCGGCCCGCCGCGCCCGCCCCCGCCCGCGGG